TTTGAATCCATACACTTAAACATTAAAATGTAATACATCACCACCTAAATAAAAAGGAATTTCAAAATGAAATAAAATTTTGGACAAACAAAAGCAAATATGAAAATGCTATCCTAAAAACTTCACAGCATTCCTACTGCATTTAAAAAAACTTGCTTTAGCCGCTTTTCATCACCAATGACATACTACGGAAAATTTGAAGACAAACTCAATGTAATGGACAACTTCACAGATGTTATAGGCTTTGTCAAGTTAAAGGCCTGTAAAAAGAAGCAGAGTTAGCCAAATATATCAAGCAGGGTAGCCAAAGTAAACTATAATTTATTCTAGTCTTTCACAAGTTCATCCTTTTTGCTAAATACAAATTAAGAGATTTTATATTGCTAAATAAGATAATTTTCAATATAATCTGTACAAATGGTATATAAATACAAAAGTGATTTTATATTCTATTCTAAATAATTTTCAATATAGTAATAAAAAAGGGAGTTTGGAACTATTTGTAGCTTTATCCCCTAATTGTTCTAAATCTGTTGGCACAATCCATTGTGCACCTAATACCACCACCTAAAACCGGGGGGCATATCCTTTTCTGTTGGTAAAACCTCCCCCAGTTTCTTGCATATACATGTTTAATAATCTAGTTGGTGACTCGTGCGTTGCACGAGTTCTGTATTTATTGTGTTTTTATTAGCGTGGAAATGAAAGTAATAGGAAGGGTAAATGATATTTAGCGATAATGTAAAACCCATAGGTATGGAACCACGTGTCTGTATTAAAGATCACTATGCAAAAAAACAAAAAACAAAATGATAGAAGATAATCTATTTATGGGAAACAATATTAAATTTAAACATTAGCCACATGAAGTTCGGATAAAGAAAAATAAATTATAAGTTAATATCATCATGGATCATCACATAAGTCACTCATGCAAGCACATGGACATTTTTTCTTAAGCAAAAAGAAGAAAGCATCCAAATTTATTTCAATAAAAAATCAGGTACAGTACAGACTCTAGAATAGAATGACTCAGAAGGGCTTCAAAGCAACCTCAAACTTCCCCATTCTGCAGTTAACAATAATAAGAGCAGAATAAGTAGCAGAATCAGGAACAAAAAAAGAAACAATCATCCTTCATATAAACTCCATTGCTTTACTGATTGCTGCATTCTCACAAAAGAATCTGATAAAGATATTGCAAGTTGGAGCATCAGTTATATTCCTCCCAAACATTCTATAAAACATAATGGTTGCCATAGAAAAATTACCAGTGGCACAAAAGGGTTCAAGAAGTGTATTGTATGGAGAAGTGTCAATTACATTTTTCTCCTCCATAAATATAATAGCTTCTGTAAATTTATTTAATTTACATAAACCATTTACTATATCAAAAAATTTTCTNATAGAAAAATTACCAGTGGCACAAAAGGGTGCAAGAAGTGTTTTGTATGGAGAAGTGTCAATTACATTTTTTCTCTCCAAAAACATAATAGCTTCTGTAAATTTATTTAATTTACAAAAACCGTTTACTATATCCAAAAAAGTTTCTTCTTCAAGCGACAAGCCACAATCTATCATCTGTTCAAAAAGTTTTGTAGCATCATCCAAATGAAGATATTCACACAAACAATTTATCAAAGTCGCACAAGTAGCTGAATCTGGAGAAATGTTAGAAGCTCTCATCATCCTAAACAACTTTATGCCTACCTCTATATTC